AAAAGCTGAGCTGTGAAAGAAAATCACTGAGGCCATTAAAGTGAAACTGTGAAATATGTAATATGTGCGACCCTCGAAGATGAACAGCGACAAAGGCAGGCTCGTGTGTTTAGGTCAAAGGAGTTGCACTTCACAAAGGGCGTGGTTCAAATTCTTTTTATGGTGACGAATAAAAGGAAAAAAAAAAAACAGTGGCTGGCTGGATGCTACGTTTTGTCTCAATTTGACATCCGTGTCTATATATTGGTTATACTGTATATACATCCATATCTATCTAAATCTCATGTGCTCTCAGCAGTAAAATCGAAACATTTTTAAACAGCAGTTTTGCCAATACATTTTTCCAGAGAAGTTTTTTATTTTCATTTTTATATTTTATTATTTTCTCTATGACACATTTGCACAGCCGATTTGTCTTTTAAATGCCTCTGTTGGCACATTCATGCTTTTGCTTGATAAGTTGCCTCAGCCAGCCGTTGGTGGAATCATCAGCAGGACCCATGTACATGTTCACGAGATGCAAACATGTAACCCACTCTTGAAATCGCTCCCCTATGGTGCCCCATATATGTGTCGGGCTGTGCTCTCGGTATGGTCTCTCTTATGGTCAGTTAATGTTAACATGTCCTATTGTGCATCTGCAAACTGTCATTTCTACTATTTGAGTGAATGTATGGGACACTGCAGCGGGAAATGGTTATTGCATGACCAAAGCCATAAAAAAGAAATGCTTTTATGCAAAGGGGTTTTAATAGAATAAATCTTATCCGTTTCTTTGTCTTCAAACTCTTCCTACAACATCAAGAGTTGAGTAACCAAGCTTTACAAACAGGTAGATTTTAAGCTCCTGAAACTTCTTTCCATTATCAGACCTACACCGTTATATAAAAGCATTATAGGCATAACATAACCGCAACTTCTACATTTTATCCACAATACTTAAATTATGAATGATATACACCATCTAGCTGTCACCTAGCTAAAAAGGACCTTTTTCTTTACGCACCTACAACGCCCTCTGAAAGCATTCTACCGTTTTAATTTCATGACAACGACATCTCATTTATTGAATTATACATGCTTAGTAACCACCTAGCAATGGGCGAAAAATTTTAGCATGTAAACAATATCTAAATAACGATGCAGCACTGCATACCTCTCTGGCAACCAGCTTCCAGAAACCCTGAGCAACTACTTTTCAGATGGTTGGGGAATACGACTTTCACTAGAAACTAAAGGTTGCCAGAAGGCTCTAAGCATACATGACTGAGGCTAGCTTGAATAGCCTCAGTCATGCCAGCCTCAGTAATGCTAGCTGAAAGCTATTCAAGCTAGCATGGATTTGCAGTGCAAATATGAGCAATTCTGATGCCCCAAAAACAATATGGTTACACCTGGTAACACCTAGAAAGTAAAACAGAAGCTTTGAAACAGGTGACCAAAGGGTGATGTGAAGTTGGCCATTCTTGTCCATACACTCTTTGGTGTCAGGGTGGGGCCACATGGACCGGGCTTATTTTGGTGCAGCTCAGAAATTGTTGATGGGATTGGACTGTGGGGAGTTAGGAGGTTACGTTAAAGCCTTGGCGTCTTTTCTGCTGGTGGAGATCATGGCTAGCATTTCAATGCAAGGATTTCCCATCACCACATTACTTACTCTCGCCTTCTATGAGTGTATTTAATGCTATGTCTGAGCACTGTAGTGCTGCGACACTGCTAGCAGTAAAATCTCCACATTCGGATTGTTTAACAGTCATCTTTCTTCTTCCACACAATGCAAACAAAAGCGTTTAACAGACATTTGAGCTTTGCCTGTTTCCTGCTGTTCCATGAATGCATCATTACACAATCAGCATGTTACTCAGTATCATTTTAGTTTCATCTCCCAGCAAGAACATTAAGCACTGATTACCTCATAAACTGACTGACGCTTTATATCTTTCACTGTGCCCATCATCCTCCTTCCTCTCATCCTCCCTTCTTTCTAATACACACATTCAACTTTACCTTCACATAGGCCACTATCTTCAGAGATATGGTGGCCAGATAGAGGGAGTTCATGGCAAAGTCCATCAGATTCCACCAGTCATGGATGTACTCTGTGAATCCCCCGTCCCACATCTCCTTAATCTCTGCCCAGATGAAGCCTAAAACACACATGCACAGTGTACACAGAGCTGGTTATTTACATGCACACACACAGTTGTGTCTATATGATCATTTAATGTCATCCGTCAGCGGTTTTTGTTTGCCTCATTTCTGCAGTATGACAAAAGTTCTGCTGAATATTCCCCTTTGTCAGCGGCCTTGGAGCAGTAAGCAGAGAGCCATCATATTTGTTCTGTATGACTGGCTTTAGATGAAGTAAATAATGCACAAGTCATTTTCTATTTAATACTCTCTCCCTGGAATATCTGGCTCTTGGTTAACCTGGATCCCAAGTTTTCACGTATCAGTTTGCCTCTGCGGCATGGTGGGTCAGTGGTTTGGTGTGTTCCAGGAAATATGACGCCAGAGGAGCTTCCAGTTGGTTCTTCCCAATTAGTTCCCAATTAGACTGGTCGTTACTACCGCCTAGTAATGTTTAAAAGACAGAGCTGGCGTGTGGTTCATTATCACTGCGGCCATTTAGAGAGATGCTGCAGAACTGCAAATGGAGAATGAAAACTAAGCAACGGTTATTTCCTCAGTCAATCTTCTGGGAGTTTTAGGGGTTTTTACAACATCTACGACTCTCTTCCTCTTTCATTGCTCACTGCGTTCTTCTTATCTGTGAACACAAACTCTGTCCTAGCAACAAATCCAAACATAGTTATTATTCTCAGAAACAACAAACAATATTTCCAGAGTGGTCATAGTCATTTAGTGGTGTGAAACAGATCCAACACATCGGATTCTTGGCTCTTGGTTTTGTCGTAAAGCAAAGTGAGGATGATGTTCAAGTATTATGTTATATGTCAAGTGTAGTGTAGAATGACCACAGATCCCATGATAAGATTTACATTTACTGGAGCAGAGCGAGTATCCTGATTACCAATATTGTGTTGCTATGAACTGCAATCAGGGTTTGTGAGTATTCTGTAAAATAAACAAATAAAACAAGCTGACTTTACAGTATTGTTGTATCTTAATTATCATTTAGTCACATCTGGACACTCCAAATGTCATTACTATACAAAATAAAGTAATGAGCATAAAAAGCAGAAGGGTTATATTTTTATGCGATTCAAATACAAGATGTTTACATTATTTTACATTTACATTATAAACAGGAAACATCTACAAAATTACTCTATTAAGCCCCAAATTAAGAACTGACATTCAATTCGTTTTTTAATCATTTCTAATGGAAGAAGTTTAATTATTCTGAAGGTAATAAAATTTTTTTTATATAACCTCATAAATGCAGCCCTGTAAGATATTTGGGGACAGGAGACAGAATCATTTTAATCCCCCCCCCCCGCCAATTTTGCTGTACACGTACAATGACAATAAAGGGCTACTCTATTCTATTCTATTCTGTTCTGTTCTTACAGCATTACATAGGTGAAATAAGTTAGAGCAAAATGAACAAATGGACCTGCTGTGAATACTGACAGCTGATCAGTCATATTTTGGAGACTTTTCAAGCGTTCCCTCTTAAAAGTAAAATTTAAATATAAATCAACTCCAACACATTTTAATTTCTGAAATACTTCTACAGATTTTTGCAATTCCATGCAAACAGTTTTAAACGAATGCAGTGATCGATTCAGAGATATCCAATAACACAAGAACTGTTATATAAATGTATACAGTCCACCTTTAATATAGCTTTTGTGTCTCCCATAAATAACAATCTGGTAGAGCGTACCTTACCATACTTTGGTTTTTGACAGCAAGAAAATGTTATTGCTGCTTATATTTCATTTAATCTAAAGTTTATTCCAGACGAAGGAGTTTTTGAAAATAATTTTTGAGCTACCTGTTGCTCATTTTTTAGTCCCAAGTCTTCCAAATCTTGTTATTTAATTTTACTTTAAAAATTATGTTACTTTATCTTTATTTGTTTTTTAATTTAAAAATTAACATTTTAATGGAGTCATAATGTTCCAGAAAAACAAATATATTAGAAATCACCTAAAATAATGAAAATTAAAAACCACTGTGCTACAGAAAAACATGGAAGTAGTATTGTGTTGTACTTAATCTGAACTTAAATAAATGCATGCACATGTTTTTTAACATTAGACAGATACATAGACGAGTATTGCCACAGACTGTAAGAATGACAGACATGCTGAACTTTATTTTGAACTCTGGGGAGAAAACATTTAACCCTTTAAGACCTACCATAGAACCAAGTCCGCCAGAGCTTATATTATATTTTTACATGCTGTGGAGCCATTTTTGGGAGCATTTCAAGTTGCTATACATCAATACAACTGTTATAGCCCAAATTTTAATAATATGTCTGCATTAAGTGCATAGTAATTACATAAATTGCAAGAAAGTGCAATAAACTACAAAAAAATTTAAAATCTTTTTTTTTAACATATATTTCTAGTTAGAGAAATTTAAGAGGCTCATCCCTCAAAACTGTAAATACAAAAAAGTTGCACAAAATAGTTTCCCACCACAGGAAATTTATTTTGAGTGTCTTCATAGTTTTATTTTTTAAATACACCGATTTTTATATACTGCAGGAAAAACGAAAATAAATATTATAATGCAAATTTGCAAAAAAGCAGCATATGCATCAAAATAAACTATTTCCAGCAGTGCAATATGAGTTCTAAGCATCCCAGAGACGACACAGAAAGTCATAAAGTCAAAGATAACTTTTAAAAACACCAGTATAGGCTCAAAAACTACATTTCCGCGAAAATGACGTCACTTCTGGTTTCAGACAGGTAATGGCAGACGTGCGATAGTTCGCGCTGACGTTGGAAGTGTTATGAACAGCTCATCGGATCGGCAAAGCTGTTTCTGGAATATTATGTTTTTGTTGCTGCAAGTGCTTTTTATACAGTTTTTGCAAAGCTTTATGTGGAAGGGAACTGTGACCGAGGACAAGCTGATGGCATAAGATGTAAGTACAACTCCTCTGATTTCATATTCAAAAAAAATTATTGTGCTAGCTTACGTGGTTGCAGTTCTACAAGGATTTAAAAGTAGTTGCGCAAAACGGAGCGTGCCCGCTCTGACCGGTTTTAAAGGGTTAAGCTCTTTTGCAACTATGCCACAGTGATTCTTTGGTATTTAGTGCAGCTCTCATCTGAAATAACTACAAAAGGAAGCAACAGAAGGAAATGTTCCAGTTTTTACCATCAACATGACAACCAGTTAATGGTAAATCATGTTTCTTTTTGTCAAACATGTTTTGTAGCCGAGACTTTAAAAATGAGAAGAAAACAAGCGGAAGAGACGATGGAAGAGAGCAGATGGTTTTGTATTTTTCCAAGTGATTATGGACTGCATTTGGAAATGATTGGTGTCAGCTCTGAGAGAGAAGATGGAGATGTAATCACTCATTTCACACCCACCCACCTACCCACTCTTTCTCTCTCTCACACACACACAAACACACACACACACACACACAAAACCAACTCCTCCACAGGCTTGAAAGCAGCCGACCACGCACCCCCACATCCACGCACTTTTACAGACACACTCCGGGGCCTCTTGATGATTAGCAATCAAACAGAAAAAATGAAGCAGATAAGTTTGTCTTTATTAATTTAAATCTGGTTGTTTTTTTTACTGTCTGGAGGAGAAAGTCCGGCTTCTTGCCGGGCAGTGACTCATTCAAGACTTTAAATGTGAAGTTCGTCGTTAGAGCTCAGCTTAGAATAGTTGATATGAGTCACTTATTAAAGACATATGAAGGAAAAAATGTGACATATTTCGTTTGTCTGTGCAAAATGTTTGTAAGCGCTGTTTAAATTTAGAGAAAATATACTTTCAATAACAGCTGAAAAACACTCACAAAGCTAGTAGTTTCCTGTTGACGTCGGTTGTTTTGAACAGTCAAATGTTACTCCACTGACCCTCTCCATGCACCATTTCCTGAGCCAAGTCCCAAAGTCCCCTAACTGTCAGTCTGTAGTTGGCAACTTTTGAAACAGATTCCCATAAATCTTCCTCCAGCCTTGTTGTTCCCTCTATACTGATGTTTTAAAAGGTTACCCAGCCCATTTCTGTAACACCGTCAAACTCATGACAGCTGAAAAAAAAAAGAAGATTCAAACTGAAGCAGCAGAGCCTGGAATCTTTTTTTATATAACTTCCAGTTCAGCTTCATCAGAGCCCGCTTTCCACATTACAGACAATAGCAGTGCAGGCATGAGCGTTTTTGGACATCGCCTAACAGAGTTGTTGAATCCGATGCAGTTGGACCGGACACTGAATGGTCCTTAATCTCAGCATCATAGCTGGCAGTTCCAACCCAATCATGCATTTCAGACAAGGTCAAAAAATGTTTAGTGTTTTATGCATGTTTGTTAGAATCATTATAATCTTTGTTTTGTGACTGTCAAGACTTGGGAGAGCAATTTTGTAAAAAAAAAAAAAATCAAAACAAAAACAAACAAATAAACACAGGGTTAATTTTAGGGTAAAGGTCAGTGAAATGAGACTCCTTGGAGGAGGTCTTAGTACGGCTTCAAATGAACTCCAGGGTGGTTTAATCTATGGTGTGAATGTAGACTTGTAGTCAAGACCACCTAAACCAGGACCAAGACAATACCAAGACCAGAGGGTATCGAGACATCCAATCTATATGAATGCGATCTGACCTTGATCCGAACCAGCTACTAGCAGTACGTTATAAGTTCCAGATAAACAAAAATTTCTCATAGCCATGTATGCTTAGTATTCTGGGGTGCG